AAGGTACCATTGGAGGGTCTTGCCACAAGGGATGTTAAAACAGTCCTAAATTGTGCCAATATTTTGTATAACAGCCATTAGAAATAATTTGTAAACAGTTTCCTCGATGGGCATGGTAGCACAAGCCTGTAATCCCAGCACTCTGGGAGGCAGAGGCAAGGCGATCACTGTGAGTTCAAGGCCAGCCTGGTCTACAACGTGAGTCCAGGACAGCCAAGGCTACAGAGACAAACCCTGTCCACAAACAAAACAAAACAAACAAAAAACCACTATGTCAACAGCAAAGGTTTGAAGAAAGAGTGTTCTATCACTTGGCATGAAGCCAAGTCAATGTCCTGCTTGTTCTTTGTGTAATCAAACTCCATTACCTGAAGAAGCAACCTGAAAGGTACCCAATGGATGTGCTTCATTTTGTGGAGTTTGGAAAATTAAAGTATGTGCACCATACTGTAAATACATATTCAATGGACAACTGTTTTAAGCTCTGAAAAGGCTGAGTCAGTAATTGCACATTTATTAGAAGTTATTGCTATTATGGGGATACTTGTGCAAATTAAGACTGACAATGCTCCAGCATATGTCTCTAGTAAAATGAATCAGTTTTTTTGCATATTACAATATAAAGCATATTACAGGTATACCACAGCATCCTACAGGACAAGCACTTGTAGAGAGATCTAATCGTACTAACCGTACCCCCAGAGATAGATTACATAATGCTTTATTAACTTTAAATTTTTAAATGCTAATGAGCAAAATAGCTGCTGAGAGACATTGGATTATGGAAAAGACTGCTGAACTGAACTAGTCTATTTGAAAGATGTCTTCACTTCAGAATGGAAGGCAGAAAGTTTGTTGCATTGGGGAAGAGGGTTTGCTTTCGCTTCCACAGAAGAAAGGCTATGGATTCCTTCAAAATTAATAGATTAAATTTGACCAAGGAAGACCTCCTGAAAATCTTGGGTGCAGAAATGAAGAAAGAAACCAAGCAGAACAACAAAACAAGTAAGATGAATACTGATCCCTCTACACAGGAACAGCTCTGAGACTGGCTGAGACATGAGAACATGTCTCTGAATAGCCAATGAATCTTGCTGGCTACAGAATCCTCAGGACTCATCATGCCATCCCTTCATATGGCATGGAAATTTATATTACAGAATGGTTTGCATTCCAAATTGACTTATAAAGTTTGATGCCTTTCACCTGCTCAAAGAGCAGAGAATGATCTTTAGCTGATTTATGTACATTGCATATTTCATACATGTACTGATGCAGAAATGTGTATCACCTTAGGGAACCCCCACAAAGATGCCATTGCCTCCAGAGAGCAGGAAACATTTTTTAAAATTTATTCTTATTTTATGTGCATTGGTGTTTAGGCTGCATGTGTGTCTGTGTGAGGGTGTCAGTTCTTCAAGTTAGAGACAGTCATATGGGTGCTGGGAATTGAACGCGGTTTCTCTGCTTCCATCTCTTAACCACTGAGCCATCTCTCCAGTCCCAAGCAGGGAGCAGTTTTAAGAGAATGACACCCAATTCCCAAGAGGTGACCATTTGATGGTGATGGATGTTTGTCATCGTTTAGGGGCGGGGTTGGTTTCAAGTTGTTAATGAGCTTGGTCAGGGAGGAAACAAAGTGAAGGAGTTAGGTTTCAGGGTCTCTTTTTCTCTCTACTTTCTCCAGTGTTGGTAGGAAGAAGGAGGAGAAGAGGTAAAAAGAAAAAAGGAGGCATATAGGGGTGACAGGATAAAAGGGTAGAATATTGAATCTACTTTTAAACTAAAGACCATCAAGAAGCCAAATATTTTACATTGGTATGGATTTTGTATATTGATACAAAAATTTAAGATTGTATTTTACATAAGATATTGTTTATGTTTTTCAACTTTGTTTAAAGTACTTATACAACTCATTTAAAAATACAGTGTGAAGTTCTAACACTTTGAAAGCTACTATTACAAACTATTTAGGATAATTAAGAAATACAAGTTAACAGTCAATCAAAATTGTGGTCTTGCTAAGTTCTAGTTTAGCTAATTATAGAACTAATCTTTATTTAGCCTCCTGTAAATGTTTTTAAAGTTATGAGACAACAAATAGCTAGAAACAAGCAACATTTGCCTATTTAGTACACCATAGATAGATAGATGGTCTTCAAAAACCTCAGAGATAGAGCTTTTAAAATGCCAGAATATGGCATTTAAAGATGTTTTATCAATAAAAGCTTCTTTGACAGAGACATGTCTTCTCCTGACAGCACCCCAAATGTGGCAAGCTGCCATTGGGCAAAAAACTGCCCTTGCCTCAACTACAGACAGCATGCTGTCCAAGCTGTGGTCAAATGGCATGCAGGAAAGTTGACTGTCGAACTTTGCAAGGATAAGGTAGGCAAGTCCTTCCTAATTCCTGTTTCACAGAAAAGTCAGTCCTTACTGAGCCAGAAGGCCAAAGATGATGTCTCAGTGTTGCAGAGGAACCTTGGGTGAATATCTAGGCAGCCAGCCGTCTGTCATTTCTATAGTTTTGGAAGCTCTGTACTTCCTGTTTACTCAGTTAGTATCTGTCCTTCTTGGGTCTCTGATGGGGTTGATGTCCAGATAGTTATAATCTTACAATTAAGCGTAAGTTGTTTAGGATTTAAGAAAATGTTTTAAGCCAGGCGTGGTGATGCATGCCAGTTATCCCAGTACTTGGAGAGAGGCAGAGGCAGGCAAATCTCTGTGAGTTCCAGGCCACCCTGGTCTACAAAGCAAGTCCAGGACAGCCAAAGTTACACAGAGAAACCCTGTCTCAGGAAAAAAAAAGAAAGGAAGGAAGGAAAAGAAAATGTTTTAAGATCTAAAAAGATGTTTATAGGTTGATGTATGTAGTTATGATTGAAAGTGATTTAAGTACAGGATATCCTCACCAAGATAGGATAAATAGTAGAGTACTTTCTCCAAGATTACCAAACAAATGGACACTGTGAATGTAACTCTTACTTGATAATTTTCATGATTGTTCTTATCATGGTCTATTACTGTAAGAGAAAGAACCTTTTATTGGACTGAGGGGGAGGTGTTGAAGGATGTTTTTGTTCATTGTGTATTCAAATGATGGTTTCTGTACCCAAAAATCTGGGTACGGTCCAGACTCCAGCACTGTCATTATTTTCAAACATCTCCTGTCTTGGTATATTGTAAATATTGTTCTCTATCACCTTGTGATTGGCTAAATAAAGAGATGAACAGCCAATAGCTGGTCAGGAGAGGATAAGGTGGGACTTCCAAGCCCAAGGAGTTTCAGGTGGGGACCAGAGGGAGAAGCAGAAGTCATCATCAGGATACGGAGGAGGAAGGACCAGCCAGAGCAAGACTAAAATGTCAAGTAATGGGTCACGTGGCTGGGACGTAGGCCAGGCCAGTATTGTCGGATTAGAATAGTCGAGTACCTGCCCAGCTATAGTGCCTGAAGTTTTTAATAAATATAAAGGTCTCTGTGTCATTATTCAAGCAGGGGAGGGCACAGAAGTCCTTGCTTTTACACATGCTATATTTGGTCCTCAGTCACCCCACACTAGAGGTGGTAGAAGCTTTAGAAACTGGCTGAGGACAAGGGCGTAGCGCAATAACTGAGCACTCTCCTAGCATGCTCAGCACTACACACACAAAACGTATAGCTGAGGCCCCATGGAAGAAAGTCACATCACTGGGGACCTTTGACCCTGAGCAAGACCCCTCTTGCTCCCTTTTTGGTTCTCAGCCTCTCAGAGGTAAACACATCCCTGCCATGATGTACTATGTTGCCACATGTGCAGAAGCAGTGACCAACTGACCATGACCTAAAACTCTAAAACCATGATCCAGAATATAGTCGAATTGCTAACTATCACACATACAGGGAGAAGGAAAAAGGAGATCACCATCTGGGCTGAGGGTGGGGCTGTCAGGGTATCCAGCATGGGAGGCCCTAGGCTCCACCCCCAGTACCACGAAGAAGAAGGGAGAGAGACAGGAAAGATGGAAGGGAAAATTACAGCTAAGCAACAGCTATAATAATAATAAACATGTGAGAATTACTAATGATTGAGGTGTTGGTGGGTGTCATCTATAGTCCTAGTTCTCAGGAGGCTGAGGCTGGAAAAGCAAGAGTTCAGGGCCAGCAGGGCTACACAGTGATATCCCTGGCTGCCATTTAAAGTATTCCAGTTCAGAACACACAGAATACAGAGCAGGTACCATTTGCAGAAATTATGGTTACCAAATGTAGCAAACATAATTTTGCAAAACTTACTCAGAGAAAACATGGGGATACTGACTTAATTTTTAGTTTTTCTATAATGCTGAATTTATTGAAAACCTTTTTAAATATTGGTACCATAAGAATTTAGAAGTCTGCCCAAAACGCTTCCACAGGCAAACACTCAAGCAATCTGAGCACAAAGTGATTGAATATGACTATAAACCACAGAAAAATATGAATTTAAATGTGTAATAGATAGATTATGGAGGGTAAGAGTCAAGTCAGCTTAGAACAGAGGGACCCAAACATCCTCTCATTTATCCAGGAGAACACTATCTATCCTTACAGATCACAAGCTGTGGTACTTGCAGCAGGATGAATGTCCTCTGAGGGCATACTATATGAAGTGCCCTCTCACCAAATCCAAAGCATATCATTCCAGTGGTATGGAGCACCTGAAGTTATGAAATGTACAGAGCAGAAGCTGGCTGACAGCGGGCCAGGGTCTGTACACACCTGGAATGTCACAAGGGTTTAAAATTGCTTCCTAGGTCCCTGGATGCATTCTTGCTAACAGGTGTCACATAATCCAAAACATCTTCTGAGCTGGAGGTAGCTCAATGAGGTACCACAAATGAGTCCTGTTTTTTAAGTTTTTTTTTTGTTGTTGTTGTTGTTGTTGTTGTTGTTTTTCCTTCACACTAGGAGGCAAAAGCCCTTTTCTAAATTCTCCTGAATTTCATTGAGTATTAATGCAAAGAAAAAAGTGACTTACATTTTAACTTCTTTGGGCACTGTGAAGGCACTGGCAAGGCATCTGAGTGTTCTGATCCCTCTTGGGAGGCCCAGCCTTGGGGATGGGGAGGAAAGAAAGAATAAAAAGGTAAGTTCTCCTGTGTTTGTGTGTGAGAGAGTAAGCACTTGACTGACCTAGCCATGTCCCTAAGTCTGTACCTTTTAATTGGGGAGTGAAGACCATTTACACTTAAGGATATTCAGAGAGAGGGGTCTGCAAATTTCTACACTCAAGTTTTCCTGGTTTGCTTTTCCTTCCTTACCTGTTTATTATTAAGGTTTACTGGTTTACTGTGCTAGGCATGATGGACTAATATTGCTCAATCTTCTGGGATAGTCAAAAAATCCTTAATGATTAATGGCTTCAAAGTGCTTTTGGTTTGTCTTTAGATACACTATGAACAGAAGGGTTTTACTATAACAGGATGCATTGACTGCTGCTGGTGCCATGAGAGTTCATCAAAAAACAGTATCTGTGAGATTCGATACAGGGATATGAGGGAAACTACACAACAACTAAGCTATGAAAACAGGAAACAAAGCACTGGAGGCCCAGAGGATGTGGACACACCTTCACACATCTCAGACACCTGGCTGGAAGGTGGTGTTTTGAAGTAATGCTGGTAATAACAGCAGATATAGGCACAAGCAGGTTTTTAATCCCACAGCCCATGCTGCTTTGCTTTTAAAAAATGTAAGCAGAGTGCTGACACCAGAATCTGTTAGAAAAGTAACTAGAGGCTGGGCGGTGGTGGGCACTTGGGAGGCAGAGGCAGGTGGATCTACAAAGTGAGTTCCAGGGCAGCCAGGCTACACAGAAAAACCCTGCCTTGAAAAACCATAAAAAAAGGAAAAAAGAAAGAAAAGAAAAGAAAAATAACCAGAAAAGTGTGGAGGAGGAGCTAAGAGGTTGAAAACCTGTTGGACTCTCTTGCAGCACAACAGGGAACCAAACAAAGTTCTAAGTGGAGTGAGGTGGGAAACAGAATGGGCTCCATTTGATGACCAGCACAGATTCAGGAGCAAATGACTCCTAAGGTGCAGCCCTGGATACAGGATGGTGAGGTTGCTGGTGACCCCTTCTCTAGGACAACCCTCTGCCCCTTCCCTTGCTCCAGTGTCATCCACTCCTGCTGCCTCGTTTTCTCTTTCTTGCTGATTCTGAACCCTAGTAAAAAACTATGCCAAACTGTGCTTGGTGTGGTGGTGGCATCACCTGACCCAGACGTGGTTTAGTGGACAAATGTTATAAGCTGGACACCTGGAACAGTCAGTGGGGAACACCGGGTTTAGGGAGGTAGTGAGGAGACAGCCTTGTTTCAGACTTGCTGACCCCTGCAGAGTGGTTAGATTTGGTATTTTTCCAGCCAAGCTCCACAGAAAAACCCTGTCTCCTTGTGACTGCAGATTTAATATAGTAGTATTGACATTAAAATCTATTTCCGTTCAGTCTAGTGTCCCACAATAGTTTTGCTTAGCAAACACGAAGCACACATCCGAACGTCTCATCAACACTTACTGTTGAAAGCTCCATCAGTGTGAAGGCCGAGATCAAAGAGCTGTGAAGGAAGGAACCGGGAGGTGTAGGTGAGAGGCCCGGGTCCCACTGAAGGCTCCTGGGATGTGAGACCAGCACTGGGGCTCCCACAGGCCGGCTGGCATTCCTGTGTAGATTCACTCGCACTTGAAGAAGTGGGGCTTCGGAGGCTGTTCAGAAATGAGAATTCCTTCTCAAAATCATCTCCTTCCAGTGAGTCTCTAGGCAGAGCCTTGGCAGCTGCTGGTTGAGAACAGAAATAGCAAGGGTTTATTTTCTTTTGAAGAAATGAGAGCAGGACATAGGAAAATGTGTTTTTTTTTTTTCCTTTATGACAGTAACATAATTTTGAAACAACTATATTGATTAGAAGTCTATAATTATTTCCAATAAGATAGGATTTGGGTCAAAATGGCCATATAGCATTATAACAAACAGTTGTGAATGCCTACGTACTAATAAACTATTGCCCATGCCAGATGGAGATGCAGAGACATGGGAGAGAGACACAAGCCTGTGCAGTAAGGAGCAGTAAGCAAACAAGGAAGTGAAGAGGCGACCGCAAGGCGATGCTCTGACATCACTGCACCATCTTCCCAAAGTGCTGGAAACCATGGAAATCCATGTGGCACTTGTGCACATAAAACTGCAGCAAGTTCTGAAGTAGGTGATAAACATTGTGCTTTGACCACAGTGAAAAAAATAAACTTACAAGGAAGCAGAAGCCTGGCAGTGGTGGTGCAGCCTTTATCCCAGCATCAGTGAGGCAGAGGCAGTGGTCTAGAGGGAGTTCCAAGACAGCCAGGGATACACACAGAGAAACTTTGTCTCAAAACACAAAATAAAAAAATGAAGACAGAAAACAAGGTCTTTTCCTAACAAATTCTAAAACCTCCAGTGAAACAATTTCAGCTGAAAGAACAGACTTTCTGTTACAATAAAAACATTTCATAATCGGTGGGATACTTAAATACCAAGGAGAAGAAGTGGCCGTCCACACACACACCACTTTATCCGTAAAAGTAACAGAATCTTCCCAGGGCCTGCACTCGGTATGACCAGTCAAAGCTCCAGGAAGACCTGGACAGAGTGTGGGATGTGTGCTGAGAACAGCACTCTCCCACCACGGGCTTTCCGGCCTGGAGTACGCAGTCTCACTTTTGGGGGGGCTACCTTCCCAGCAGGCAGGGTGCCAGCACTGCAGCCTGTACGTTTACCTAAGGCTGCATTCCATGACTGCAGTCGAGCAGAGGTTCCCATTGCCCACCCAGATCCTGGTTATGGGAAGGACACTGTGCCGCCAGGTGAGGTGGGCTAGTACAGAGAACTGGAGCCGCCCACTCTGGAGCGTGGATGAAGCTCCATGCCAGCCAGAAGCAAAACCCCTTTCTACAACCCTAGCTGCTGTGGGCTTCACAGATTATAATTATGGCCAGGGCACAGCCTCCCTGTACTCTTGCTTGTCAGGAATGGCTTTCCTAGCCATCTGACATGCAACTTGAGACCACCAAAATGACGTAGAGAATGAAGACACTGTAACTGTGACTCTCCCTTGAGAAGCCCATGCCCACGCTTGGGTCTGTCTTACTTTTTCCCAGAGCACCTCACTACTGCATACATGTTTAAAATCTTTATTTAAAAAGTGGCTTCATAAACGGCAACTCCTCTTTGAAAGGCCACATGCCTGGCTCTTAATATTTTTAATACGACTCCAATTCTGGGGCTGGAAAGATGGCTCAGAGGTTAAGAACATTGGCTGTTCTTCCAAAGGTCCTGAGTTCAATTTCCAGCCACCACATGGTGGCTTTCAACAATCTATACTGAGATCTGATGCCTTCTGGTGTGCAGGCAGAATGCTGTACAAATAATAAATAAATTTTTTAAAAAGATTTTTTAAAAAAATCTTAAGTTATGATTACAAATTCAATTACAATTCTGCTTCATACTGGCTAGCTCTGTAATTCTTTTCTGAGCCATCAGTCTTCGGTTTTGCTGAGCTGAGGTCCCTTAAACATTTAGGGGACCGTCCTTTGGCTGCTGAAGGCAACAGTAGAGGCGCGCTTCTGTCCCCTCATCACTGACAGGGTCCTTGGCCCTGCAGATAAAGTGTTAGTTTCAGGGTGGGGTCAGAAGAGCTGACTGTGGAGAGCAATCCTCCAGTGGAGCCTGAGTTTTGCTTGGTCTGCTCTGTGAGCAGTCTGTACTGGGGCAGGCTGAAGTCGGGAGAGCGATCAGCTGGAATGAGCAGAGCTGACTAGTTTGCTCTGAAAGGGAAAGATGTCAGGTCTCTGATAAAATCACCACCATGGGGTATCTGAGCCCTGGAAGACATCCTACACTGAGGTACAAGGGAAGATGAAGTCTAGACCCCATTAAAATAATTCCACGTCTAAAAACCAAGCAATTACTAAGTAGGGCCAGCACCCTAAGTTACCAAAGCACATTTACAATATCCAGTTTTCAGCAATACTGTGGGGCATGTATAGGCAAGAAGGCAAAAACCTAGAAGCCTGTGTGACATTGACTAAATGTCATATTTAATACTCAAACTTTTAGTCACTTAGCTGTCCTCTCTACTAAAGGAATCCATGATAAGAGAAATAGGAGAAAATTGGGGGCAAGATGGGCCAAGATTCCCTAGAGACTGAACTGACGGAATGAGAGAATGGTCTCTTCCCACAATTTTTTGTACTTTACCATTCCAAGAGCTAAGGAAGCCAGGGTAAGATTGCAGTGCCTGGCTGTAGAATAGTAAGAACACACTGAAGAAAGCAGGCAGACATTTCTTGCTTCAGCCCTCCCTAACTCCAAGCAGCACAGGGGGAAGAAAGACACTGCCCTGCAGGATGGAATAAATCAAGTGCAAGCCCAATAAATCTAGTACTAGGCTCACTAGGTAAACCAAGCCCTACCCCTCACACCACCCACTGATGCTCTAGCCCTTAGCCCTTCCCACCCAGACACATGGTGTCTCCATGTGACATCCCTAGTAAGAGAGAACATGGTGGTGTCTGACTGCAGGACAGTGCACTGCATGACAGTACATGGAGTGTCTGGCGCTATCCAAGCCCAAGGTGGGCTTACAAGAATCAACAAGTCCTCATACATATAAACCAGTTATTTCCAAATAAGGCTTCAGCTATGGATTGAACAAACATGGGCTGGGGAAGGCATGCTTTTTAAAAATTATTTATTGAGACAAGGTCTCATACTGTAGCTCAGGATAGCCTCAAACTGACAGCAATCCTACTGTCTCAGCCTTTTAAGTGCTGAGATTTTAGCTGTAGGCCATCATGTGCCATCATGGGGCATTTGAGTTCTGAGGACCATTTTACAGGAAAACTAAGGCAAACTTGGATGTAGGGAACTATCTAATACTAAACTAGTGGGAATGTCCACAGGGTCAGAGATGACAAGCTACTTTCTGGAAGGGCAGCCACAAAGGCTTTCAATGTGAAAACACAGTCTATGGATAAGAAGGAAAACTCAGTCAGCTGGAGGAGAAAACAGGAGAACTGGAAAAAAACAAGAAATGTAGTACAGAATTAAAGAGTAAACATCTAGCCATTACAGTTTAAGAGGGACTTGAGAAGGTCAAATAACTGAAGACTTCCCAAACCTAGAGGAGGCTATCAGGTACAGGGAAGTAAAAAACTCCAGCCAGTCCTGCCAAAGAATAAGATATGCGGTAAGCTCTCCAGTGTTAAGCAAACATACATAAAGCTGCCCAGTTCTGCTTGGGGCAGGCTATGCCAAAGAACAGTTACAGGTCAAGAGACAGTGGCACGAGGTGTTCATGGTCCATAAAGAACCTGGTAGCAGGGGAGGGAGGGTGGGATCAGGAGGGGAGGAGGGAGGGGCTTATGGGGGATACAAAATGAATAAAGTGTAATTAAAAAAAGTTAAATAAAAAATTAAAAAATATTACTCAGGAGCTGGAGAGGTGGCTCAGAGGTTAAGAGCATTGGCTGTTCTTGCAGAGGTCCTGAGTTCAATTCCCAGCAGCCACATGGTGGCTCACAACCGTCTATAGTGAGATCTGATGCCCTTTTTTCTGGCATGTAAGCGTACATAAAGACAGAACATGCCAAAAAAAAAAAAAAAGAAACTGGTAGCCAAGAATACTGCACCCAGAAAAGCTGTCTTTTAAAAAACAAAGTGGTGAAGACAAAAATGGGAGGAATTTCTCTTCACCAGGCCTGTCCTACAAGAAATGATGACGTTCTTCAAAGACATTGTAGCCATGCTTTTAGAACCGGCAGAGGCAGGCAGATCTCTAAGTCTGAGGCCAGCCTGGTCTACAGAGTGAGTTCCAGGACACTGTCTCAGAAAAATTAAAAAAAAGAGAAAAAAGATGCTAGTGAGAAAAAATGGTACACACATAACCCAGAAGGTATAAAACTCAAAAGCAATATTAGAATTCTCTAATATAAACATGATACATTAACTATTTATGTCTTTTGTAATAGGCTAAATAACAACATAAGTAAAAGCAACAGTAACTACATTATGGTAGGAGAAAGGCGATACAGAAAGATGTAAATGAGTCTACAAGATGGCTCAGCAGGTCCTGGCAGTTGCTGCCCAACCTGACACCCAGTAGAAGGGTCCTCTTGCTTCCACATGTGGACTGTGCATGCATGCATCCACATACACAGCGCCCCACAAACAAACACAACTCTTTAAAAATGAAGGCTATAGCCAGGGGTGCTGGGATGAAATCTATGTAAAGGCAGATGGATATCTGTGAGTTCAAGGCCAGGCTGGTCTACAGAGCCAGTCCAGGACAGCCAAGGCTACACAGAGAAACCCTGTCTCAAAAAAAAAAAAAAATTGGCCTGGGTGTGTAGTTCAATGGCTAGTGTCCTGCTGAGCATGAGCAAGGCCCTGGGTTTAGTCCCTAGTACCACATAAGACAGGTATGTGGCTATCCCAGCTCTCCAGAGGTAATGGAAGAAGGACCTTAAGTTCTTTGATTATAGAGCCAGTTTAAGGCCAGCTTGGACTATAAGAGACCCTGCAAATACAGAGGATTTTTAATTTTAATCTATGTGTATGAATGTTTTGCATAGTATACATGTATATACATGTATTCTATATGTTTATACAATACATATGCTGTATACAATATATGTATATACATGTATACTATGCAAGTACATATATATGTATTATATACATATGTGTATATATGTATATGTAATATGGGCAAAACATTCACATATATACATATATGTGTGTGTTTATATGCATATATGCATATATATCCATGTATTGTGTGTATATGTACCACATGTGTGCCTGGTCCGTGGAGCTGAAGTTATATTGAGTTGTGGGCTGCCATGTTGGGTGCCAGGAACCAAACTCAGGTCCTTTGCAAGAGCAGTAAATGCTCTTTAACTGCTGAGCCATTTCTCCAGCTACTAGAGAATTCTTTTTCGATTGTATTTCTAATTTTATTTCTTTTATTCTTTATTAATTACACTTTATTCACTTTGTGTCCCCCCTGTGGTTCTCTCCCTCCTCCTGTCCCAATCCCTCACTTCCTCAACCCTCTGCATGCATGCCCCTCCCTAAGTCCACTGATAGGGGAGGTCTTCTTTTCCTTCCTTCTGATCCTAGTCAATTAGGTCTCATCAGGAGTGGCTGCAGTGTCTTCTTCTGTGGCCTGGTAATATTACTTCCCTCTCAGAGGGTGGTAATTAAAGAGCAGGCCAATCAGTTCATGTTCATGTCAGAGGCAGTGCCTGTTCCTATTACAATGGAACCCACTTGGACACTGAACTGCCACATCTGTGCAGGGGTCTTAGGTTATCTCCATGCATAGTCTTTGGGTGGAGTATCAAAGAATTTTTTGAAACTAGTATTTTCACATTTTATTTTCATTGATCAGTTTTAAGTTGTTATGATTACAAAACAGCATCTTATAAACAAAAGATTTTCTTGGTAAGTCTTAAGGTAATCCACAAAGCAGAAGTCTGTAGTTGACATACCAAAAATAAAAAGCTCAAAGCACACAAAGAAAAAGCACCAACCACAGAGGGAAACTGTAAGAAGGAACAAAACTATAAAGCTGACATTAAAGTGGCAGTAGCAAGGGAGGAAGGTCACAATGGCACATGCCTTTAATCCCAGCACTCAGGAAGAAGAGGCAGCTCATCTCTAAGTTTGAGGCCAGCCTGGCCTACATAGAAAATCCCAGGCCAGTCAGGGCTACATAGAAAGACCTGGTCTCAAAAGGGAAGGGAATGAGCCATAGCAAGACTTCAGCTAGCAATAATCAATGAGTGTGAATGGACTAAATTCTTCCATTAAAAAAAGTCTTCCATTAAAAGTCAGAGTGACTGTTGACTAAATGTATTGTTAAAGTACAAATTATATGTGACTTAAAATAAACGTGTTTTCGCCTCGGTCCTATTAGGGAGGAGCAAACCTGAGGAGTGTTCAGTGGAATTATAAAGTGACAGCATTTTAAATACAGTTTAAACCAATCTTTTAGAACATTTTAAATCTTTTGAAAGACTGTGACAAACTATTTTGACATTAAAAATGTAGCCATTTTGCCAGGTGGTAGTGGTACATGCCTTTAATCCCAGTGCTTGGGAGGCAGAGGCACGTGTATCTTTGTGAGTTTGAGGCCAGCCTGGTCCACAGAGTGATTCCAGTACAGCCAACTCTACACAGAGAAACACTATCTTTAAAAAAAAAAAAAAAAAAAAAGTAGCCATTTCAATTAATGCATCTACCATCTTACCTGGCTCTTTCTCAAGTCTCTCTTCCTCTTCAGACAAAGCTACCCTAAAGTAAAAACCAGAAAGTACAGAGTTTTGGTTAAAGTACATTTGAGATTCCCAGCCCCCAGTTTCATATAGTTAGAATTTTAATTCAGGAGGTACATAAAATACTTGTCTGGCAGATCAAGTCTCTAACAGATTTTATTCTATTTCTATAGAACTGCATAGACTACATAAACTTTTATTCTTATTTTCTTTCTATTGTTGTTGCTGTTTTTGTTTTGTTTTGAAGGCAAGGTTTCTCTGTGTAGCCCTGGCTGTCCTGGAACTCACTCTATAGACCAGGCTGGCCCCGAACTCGCAGAGGCAGACCCTGCTTCTGCCTCTTAAGTGCTGGGATCAAGGGTGTAGGCTACCACTGCCCAGCTCCTTATTCTTGTATTTGACTCTGTACAGAGTCTGTAACAGAAATGTAGACACAGGGCCAAAGACAAGGTTGAATATTCCTAATTTGGATGTGTGATTTCCAGAATGTTCCATAGCCTTTTGAACACAGGACAAGTAGGAGACTTCTTTACCATGAGACTTGTTATGGACACTCTATTTAGAGCAATGTTGCCACAGGCCACAGCTGTAAGACACACAGGACTCACACCAGTTCCTTCCCCCTGTGTCTATGCCTTCCTTTCAGTTGGGGTTCTAAAAGAAGGGAGGCAGTGTAGAGCGTGTGGACATTTCTGGAGTCTGCTCTCGCTGCTGGCCAGCAAGCTGTGTAATGAAGATGCTCTTGCTATCTTTTACTGTGTTGTAGAGTGTTACCCACAGACTTTGGAGTTTTTTATTACTAAAATTATCCTAATACATATATAAAATGAAATAAGATAGAGAAGAAAACATAAATGAATTCCATGTTGAGCCCTGGATCCCATCTCTAAGATATTGCATTATGTTTATGCAAATATACCAAAAATATTTTAAAGTCTGAAAACTGGAACACTTGTACAAACATCTTGGACAAGCGTTCCAGTCCTGTGACTCCGAGAACTTTGGCAGTAAGGCTGTAGCATATGGAATTTCATTTTCATGCACTAGGGGGTTGGGGTGGCCTTTCTAAAGAACATGTAACAACTAAAGAGATAAACGCCCCACACAAGCTGTGTGATGAAGACGCTCTTGCTATCTTTTACTGTGTTGTAGAGTGTTGCCCACAGACTTTGGAGCTATTTAATTGTGAGTATTTAATTGTTGTGAGTAAAGTGATATAACCTATAATGTCCTCAGTCAATGGTAATTGTAGGTATTTATAATATGCATCTAATATGCTGATTTAGAACACCCATTATAATAAAGAGTGGGACATAGAAACTAAACAGAGATTGAGCTGTTTTTTCTGAGCATGACTTCACAATTGTCAGTACTGAAGGCTATTTTAATATGTCTTTAAAGGCATCCCAAGACCAATACTGTGTCCATTTAAGAAAATACTACACACTCAAAAAAACCCTTTCACAGTAAACAGACTTAGGATTTGAAATGAAATTTCTAATGATAGTATACATATATGATATTTTTAAACAACTTGGTCTCATTCATGATTTTAAATGTCAACATAACACTAAGGTAAGTTTACTTTATACATCTTGTAATACAGACATTTAATTTGGATTTCTCATGGAGAATACTGTGCTTGAATCTGGGCTGGCAGGGCTCGTTGCTGCCTCAGTCAGGTCGGTTAAGGAAGGAGTGAAGTCGCAGATGAGCATGGGCAGACACAGGGAAGCAGGCGTGTGCAGGGCCCCTAGGTCCCAGTCTCGTCCGTGTTTTTTACAGATTTCTAACAGCTGCTTTGCCCGCCTGCTCTCGGCTGTTCCTGCCAGGCCTCCCCACAGCACTGGGCTCTTAACACAGTGCACACTCCTCCTCATGACAGAATCTGGGGCTATCGCCCCAGCTGGCTGGTACTTCTGTCATTTCCTTTGCCCAGCGTGTTGACAGTGGGAAAAAAATACAGCAAATGTTTGTGTTTAGAAAAGTGACATGGAAGGAGCATGCAGTGACCGGAGAGGAGAAGCTGACGACACCTGTATGTGTGTCATAGGACAGCACCCAGGATTCACACAGCATCCGAGGAGGCCTCGCCTACTCACTTATCGAGGTCTGCAGTGAGACAACTGCCCTCTGTTTGTTCTTCTTTGTAGTCTGCAGTGAGGTTGCCTGGAGTGTCCTGTAGTCGCTAAGGATGTGAAATTTAACGTTAAATAGATTGAAAAAAATCTGTTCTTTTTACAATCAAAAAGAAAATAAAAACTTCGGATGATATAAAATAGAAATAGTTCTGAGTAGAGAGTGGGAGCTGTGGGAACATGATTTGGTGTTAATTTGCCCTGAACCCCATGCATAGTTTTTCATCTTGGCTGTCTGTGGAGCTGCACATACTGGGATATGCCTTAGAGAAAGATTAGCAACTTGAGATAGTGCCAAAGAAAACACACTGCGCTGCCAGCCTGTACTGCAGTCCTTGTCACAGAGCTAAAGATGATTCTAAGTAGAATTCAGGCACAGAATTTGCCTAAATACATAGTACATGATTCACTGAATCAGTTGCATCTTTGGGGCTGAAAACGTTGTTTCATAAAATGACTTAACAGATGGGTGCAGTATGATGGTTTGTGCCTTTATTCCCAACCCCAGCACTCTGAGTTCAAAGCCAGCCTGATCTGCACAGAGTGTTCCAGGCCAGGAAAGGCTACAGTGAGATCCTGTCTCAAAAATGAGAAGACTTAAAAAGAGACTGAAGAGATTACGTGGCAGTTAAAGAGTATGTACTGTTCTTCCAGAGACCTGAGTTCAATTCCCAGCACCCATATCAGGCAACTCACAACCACCAGTTCCAAGGAGATCAGACACCTCTGCAGGCAGCTGGCACCCGCACACACGCATGCACATGCTTCAGTTTTTTTAAGATGACTTAAAAAAGATCCATCACAGGCATGTCATCCTGCTGAAGTAAGAATGGTAAGGTGGAAGGCACTTAGAGCTAGCCCATTAGAACTGAAGAAATGACTGTGTTGAATAAGCCACATGCAAAGATGTGATGGGATGCTTTGCAAACATGGAGAAACTGTGATCATAGGTGAGCACATTTTTCATATATACATGGTTCAGAAAAAGTTCCTCTTATGTTAGTCTCTGCAGCTGCAGTTGCACCCATGTCAGGGCCAGGCTGTGTGATCTGGGCATCATGAACCACATTTGTGACATCAGGGTAAAGGCAAGAAGGAAATCTGACTTAAACTTTGAAAATTGCCAGGTGGGTAGTCTGTCTGGCCATTATTGAGAATATGCAGTTACTTCCCATCACTTGTTGCTTTTTTTTTCTTCCATAGATTTAGCTATCCCTGTGTATGCATTTAAATTTTTTATTACTAAACTTCACTTGTAGAGTTTATTTTTAATTGTGTGTGTAGGTGCCCACTGAGCCCAGGAGGAGCTGGAGTTATAGGAAGCTGTGAGCCACCCAGCACAGATATGGAGCCAACCTCTGCAAGAGCTCAGCTCTTAAATTCTGAGCCACTGTCTGCAGTCCCCCATCCCTGCACCTACTTTTTTCACTTCCCCATTTCCCTGTCATACTAGCACCTCAGCTAGCAGCCTGTGTGTCTCAGGGTTATGGACAGTGACTGGAACCTAGAGAGCACTGATCCTTAGCAGTGGGGAACATGTTTTCCAATGTTTCATTAGTTTGAAATTAAGCTCAGAAAAACACATTTCTGTGTCATCACCTCACTGAAGTGTGATTCAGCCAAACAAGAGAACCCTGGAGACCTACCTTGAGAGCTCTGAAGTGGTACGGATGAAAGCTAGTATAGGCCTCCTGGATTTGAGACATCATTTTAGCTGTTTTCTCCCAGAACGTAAGCAATGTTCTCTGCGGAAAAAGAAAAGGCAACACTACAGCTCTATCTGCCCAAGATCTGTTTGGGGCTTCTTCCTCACTGCTGTGGTGCTCAGAAACTGAGCCAATTGTCCCAGGATGGGGAGCCAGAAAGCACTAGAGATCACAGTTTTCATTAAAGTTAGCAGTGAGTCTGCATGTGCATGAGCCTATCTGTCCACAACAGTGGGCACCTAGAGAATGACTACAGCTCATAGTGAGGAAAACCAGTGGGTCCAAATACCTCAGAGTCCAAGATCATATGCATCAAAGGCATAAAAACACCAGTCTCTACTGAAGAAGGGACATATGTGTAATCTTTATGTTAGCATATATAAGCTCTGTGTGTGTGCGAGTGTGTGTGTGTGCATGTCATGGAGTGCCTATAGCGATCAGAGAAACACCTGTGGGAATTGGTTCTCCTGATCTATTATGTGGGTCCCAAGTCTCAGATTAAGGTCACCAGGCTCAAATGCAAGCATCTCCACCTGCTGAGCCCTCTTACTGGCCCATAAGAATCTTTCTGTTTGTTTTGCTTTGTGAGACAGGGTCTTACTGTGTAGCCTTGGCTGGCCTGGAACATGCTTTGTGGACCAGGATGTTCACAATTCACAAAAATCCACCTGCCTCTGCATCCCGAGTGCTTAGATTAAAGAGGTGTGCCTCTATGCTCACCCCATAAGTATCTTTTCATTAAAGAAAATAGTTACTACTAAATTTGGCCTTTCGTCAAGGGCTCAAGAAAGACTTTTCCCTAAAAATGTGTTATTTAGTTAACTCAGTAATCTGTGCTCCTCCTTGATGCTTCAAGATTCCTGTTCCAGGACAAGGGATGAACAGGAGAATAGAGGAATACTAAGCTCTTAAACTACACATCGTCATTGCTTTCATTTTCAAGGACATCTCTTCTTGCATCTTGAACTCCATAGTACCAAGCTGAGTTGGGTATATTTTAAGATAGCAACGAATAACCACCTCCTTTCACTGATTATTCTTTCCTTATTCAGATACGGTTTTCTACTGACTGTTTAACAGCAACACATTAAAGTCTGCAACCTCTGCTTGTAAGTAGCTAGCATTGATTGTAGATTTTTCACATGTGACTTGAGGGTAATAGAACTGCAGGTGAGACTAATGAGGTTAAAGTATAGGATGGCAGCTTGGCAGAATGAAAGAAATACATGGCCTAGATTTGGTAAACTTGGGTTTTTTAAACCAAATTACCATTTGCTTAATTGTCATTGTCTTCATTTTCTTTATTCATTGCTTGACACAAAAGTTTTCAAACTTTCTGTTGTTTTGTTTAGTTTGGGGACAGGGACAAAGTCTAGACTTAAACTCTATATCCTCCTGTCTCCGCCCCTGATGTGCTGGGAATACCTGCATAAGTCCCAAGTATCACTACTTCAAATGAAAGTATAAACCAGAAGTAATAAGTCTTGAATTTTACCTTCTCACCACTCCCCACCCCCCGAGGTAGTTCATTTATTTTTTATTTTTTTATTTTTTGATACAGGGTTTCTCTGCGCAGTTCTGGCTGTCCTGAAACTCTGTGTAGACCAGGCTGGCCTTAAACTCAGAGGTCCACCTGCCTCTGTCTCCCAGGTGGTGGGATTAAAGGTGTGTGCCACCACCAGCGGGCTTACCATTCTCCCTTTAAACCTCAGAAAGTCCCTAAGTCTTTCACTGTGCTACTCAAGAGAGCATAGTGTGATAGACAGTTTCCAAGTGTTTCTACACTTAGAGCTTTACGGTTCTCTGTCACATCTTCAACAGGCCAATTACAGCAGTCAAAGGAAGCTGGCCAATAATAGAAATGTTCTTGCACCTGTTAGACAACTTTCAAAAACGAATCTCACCACTCATCTTTACTGCAAGGACATGCTGACCATGGGGTGGGTACCTGGTAGGTAGTGAGTGAGTGAGATAACATATTGCAGCGACTAGCTCCAAGCAAGTCCACTTTCTGACAGACATCCATCTTTAACTTGTCAAAAGAACCTTTGCTATTTCTCACTTGGATCTGTACCTGCAATCACAAAAATGTCTGTTATTATCAACACCAAAAATGAAATTCTAATGGGTCTGAAATTTTTTTCAGACACATGGAATTATAACAGTTCCTTTTCTCTGTATCATTATCATCCTATGGGTAACGATGGAGATATTAGCTATTTTTGGTAACTACAAGAGAGTGTTTTATCTCTTTTTTAAACATTTACTTATTTATGTAGCAGGAATATAGGGAGCATACATGTGTGTATGTGCATGCGTGTGTGTGTGTAGGTCAGAGAACAGTGTGTGGGAGGTGGTTCTCTCCTTTCACCATATGAATTCTGAGGATGAGATTCAGGTCATCAGGCTTGGTGGCATGTGCCCTTACCCTCTGAGCCATCCCAATGGCCCTCCTACAGCTATCCAGTAAGGTGTAAAAAACCTGAAAATTATATAGTTAAGAAGAAAGTGTCCCAGATAAAAACGAATATCTGAAATGTTTAGGATTATGTACAGTACTTAGCTAAGAGAAGAGGCAAAAAAATGGAAAGGCTGAGGAGATGGCTCAGCGGGCAAAGGCACTTGTCACCAAGCCTGGTGATTCGGGTTTGATCCTTGTGCTCACATGGTGAAAGAAGAGAACCAGTACCCCCAAGTTGTCCTGTCAGTCACATGTGCCCTGTGGCATGTACTCATGCACACAAAATAAATGAAAAAAAAATGTAATAAAAAAACTTACCTGGCCTGAGGTGGTGCACACCTATAATCCCAGCACTTGGGAGGCAGAGGCAGGGGGATCTCTGTGAGTTAAAGGCCAGCCTGGTCTACAAAGCGAGTCCAGGATAGCCAGGGCTATACAGAGAAACCCTGTCTCAAAAAACCAAATAAATATGTATTTAAAGATGAGCATATTCTAGTGGTATGTATGCATCTCATAAACAATAAATAAAATGCAATAAAATTTTAGAATAGAAGACACAGTCAAATGTTGGTAGGCATTAATATTTCAAACCCATTGAGGTAGTTATGTATTAAATTATTTCTTCATAAATGTCATTGGATAATATAAATGTTGGCTTTTGAAAATGTTTGTTCATTCATTGACTCAACTAATATTTACAAATTGTCAACTATATGAAACACTATTTTAGGAATTAAGATACTATGGACACTGTGGCAAAAACAACAGATGTTCATGCCATCATTGTCAGGTAGAGAGGGATAGGAGAAAAAGTAAATAATTACAGGAGGGACTCTCAGCTTGGAAACACACAAATAGGTGAATAGAACTGAGTGGCCATTAAGTGGTCAGGAAGGCCGTTGGCAAGCGGGGGTGAAGTTTGGGCTGGACAGGGAGATGATGAACAGGCTACACCAAGACTCCTGGGGAGAGCAGTCCAGAAAGAAGAAGGTCACAGAGGAAGACAGGCAGAGCAGAGCCTTGGGGACACAAGGAGCAAGTATAAGAAGGCTGTGTAGGGACATGGGACCAGACCTGGAAGGATTTCTGAAAGGAACCAGGTAGAAATCTGTAGTTTATGGGGTTTTCTGTGTAGCTCTGGCTGTCCTGGACTCACTATTTAAGGATAGCTTCAAACTCAGAGATCTACCTGCCACTGCCTCCTGAGTGCTGGGATTAAAGGTGTGTGCCACCACAGCCAGGAATCTGTATTTTTGTTTTGTCTTAATTGGAATGAAACTCACAAAATGTACACTTCACCACTGAAAATACAGAATTCAGTGGCACTTGTGCTTTCACACAACCACTCTCTCCAACTAAATACTATTGTCAAGGATGATAATGGGAGTAGGACAAGAGGCTGCTCTGACTTCAAGCCAGGTATGCACCTGTTTTACAGGGCCGCTGAGAGTTATGTCACCTTGACACAACCAGACCCATTTTGGAAGAAGGAATTTCAATTGAGAAAAATGACCCCTGCCCACATACACACAGATGAGCTGGGGTGAGCTGTGCGACACTTTCTTGATTGATGTGGGAGGGTCCAGCTCAGTGTGTACCAACCCTGGGCTAGTGGTCCTGAGTGCTATAGGAAAGCAGACTAAGCAAGCCATAAGGAAAAAAACAAAACAGGAGGCAGCCCTCCTGTGGCATCTGCGTCACTCCTTGCCTCCAGGATCCTTCTCCACCTGAGTTCCCACCCCAAGCTCCTTTGAAGATGGATGTGCTGTGGAGCCCTTTCCTCCTTAAGTCACTTTTGATCATGGTGTCCTCTGACAGCAATGAAGTAACTGAGACAGGAGGCAAGCTACTCGCAGTATCTGTACAGGGGGGTTCTCTCAGCACTGAACATCATGACTTTATTATAGGTTCTAAATATGAAATGAATTAGTGAATGAATTTTAATATCCATATACAGTAAATTTAAGGTACGAATATATCTTTATTTGTTAAGAATCTACCAGTGAACTACATCTTCAACCTTAGGGGATGTAATTTATAATGAATTTATTTAACAAAAATATATTTACAACGTATAAGTTACTGTAGCAGAATGAAAAATTAATAAACTCTACTTTTTCTTAGAATAATTTTCACATGATTTTTGCTTCAGCATTAGATATTTTCCCACTAATAATAAACTATTTTCTATCTGTACATAAATCCCAAAATTCTAGGTAAGCAATATTTAAAATGTGATAGAACATTTGTGAAAGTTTTAAAAAATAAGAGTGGGAGCTAGATGCCATGGAAAGGGTACATCTGCTGAAATATCCAAGCAACCAAGACTTGAGTCTAGAGTGGGCTGTGGTGAGCGTCTGTGATGCCAGCTCTCAGGCTTGCATTTCTGCGCAGCCTAGACTATACAGTGAAATCCTATCTTTTTTTTAAAGGCTAATATTTTATTAACATTGTTAAATTATTCTGTATTAGTTCTCTGTTACTGCCAAGAAAAGGAGGGACTAAAGAGCTGGCTCAGTGGTTAAGAGCACTGGCTGCTCTGCTCTGGCTTGCAACCGTCTACAATTGGGTCCAATGGCCTCTTCTATTGTGCAGATGATCATGCACCCATGTACATAAAAGACATAAACCAACCCAAGGAAAGAGAAAGGACACAGGTCTTACTTTTCGAAACTTTTCCATTTGTTTGAGGGTATCTGGGTCAAGCTCCTGCGATGCATCTTTCATCCACAGCAGGGCTCCTCTGTACTCTGTGCGTGCCTGCTCCATTCGATTAATGGTCACCAGGGTGTCAGAAATTGCCCTCTGACTGAACGTTGCTACTTCTTGCTTCAGACGAGACAGGGGGGTGCACAAGGCCAATCTAATGGCAGAGAGGTGAAGATCAGAGGCCTGTACAACCATAACCAAAATTCTAGACGTACTGGGACATGTATTTACCACGTAGATGAGTCACAAAAAAAATTCTTGACATGCCTTGAAGATCTAGAAAGCAGCCTCTGACTTGCAAGGAAAGATTTTCTACAGGTAATCCCTTTTTAATTTTAGGAAACATCTTTGATCCAGACAGAAATAACCCTCCAGGTACATCTACCACCTAAAAAAGAGTTCTGAGGCAACAAAGAGCCTGTGTACCTAAGTCACAGAGTCATTTACTGGCAATGTTCAATTGGTAAGTGTAGGGAAATCTTGGGTTCAAAAGATTAGATAAAAAGCTAGAAACACTAATGAGGATACAGTTCTTATAAGCTGAGGTGAGAACAGAAAACGAGGTGTTTAAGAAGTACCAGGCAGAGGTGGTGTACACCTTTAATCCCAGCACTCTGGGAGGCAGAGGGAGGCTGATCTCTGTGAGTTTGAGGCCAGCCTGGTCTACAGAGCGAGTCCAGGACAGCCAAGGCTACACAGAGAAACCCTGTCTAAAGTTTTTTAAAAAGGAGGAGGAGGAAGAGGAGAAGGAGAAGCACATCTTAAATTAAGACATTCAAAGGCTGCTTTTGATATGGTGGCCCTAGAGACCTCTGCACTAATATGGCACTACAGAATAGAGCCACCTAGGCCAGAGTACAAACCTGAGGTCAGTTTTCTCATTTTTTTCCTGCAATACAAGCATTTGAGCTGCATTTACAGTATATACACACACACATATATATACATATACATATAGTACATATTCAGTACATATACATATATATATGTACAGGATAGTCTTTATGACATATCTTTATGCTAAACACTATGAAATAATAAGTAGAAAGTATGAAATTAAGAAAAATAATCAGGCTGGTTATGGTGACATAAGCCTTTAATGCCAGCACACCAGAAGGCAGAGGCAGGTGAGTATCTATGAGTTTAGGCTAGCCTCGGCTACATAGTAACTTTTCTAAGAAAATTAAATTTCTATTTAAAAAGAAAAGTTTAGATTTGATCATAGTACAGTGTCAAAAAGTGAATGATGGAGGATGTGCAGCTCAAGGTAGAGCACCTGCTAGGTTGCATGAGGCTCTGGGCTAGACTGTCAGCATCACACAAGAAAACAGGGAAACAGAAAGTAATAGAAACTCATATCTTAAATAGTCCTCATTTTGTGACTATTACAGTAAACCACTTGAGAAGCAGAAATACAGTCCTAACTGCTATTTTTAGGAATTAGATAATCAAGAGCATCAATTTTTAAGTAATTTTTCTGAATGCAAATAAATAAAGTGAATAAAGTAAGAAAAAACTTATCCCCAAACACATTTCTCTTGAAACACATTTCGCTGCCTTATTAAAACAGGCAGTTTCTTAGCTGAACATGCAGACTTAGCACAGAAGCATCTTATGACAACCAAAGGATGAAAAAAAGCTGCGGGAAACCTTTGCTTGGCTGAGGAACAGAGTGCCTTGCCAGCAGCATCCATCATTTTGCCAGCTTGAGTCGCATCCCGTTCTGCTTGAAACTTTAAAAAGAGCCCTAGTTCGTTTTCTTCCTCTGATATAACTAGAGAAGAAAAAGTACAGTTTAGTTCATTGTTTGATTTCATCATTTGCTTAAAACACAATAGGCAGGAGGCATGGCTTCACAGGTAAAGGTGTTTGCCACCAAGCCCAACAACCTGAGCTCAGTGCTGGAGACCCACATGTGGAAGGAGAGAACTGACCTCCACACAGGTTCTATGGCACCTGGGTACATGCACGCACACGCACACACTCAAAACTTAAGGATTTAAACACACAACTGAAAACTCTCCAGTAAGAATTGCAGGGAGAAGGAAAATCCTCCTGTGTGGGTCTCCCACCATGGAGAGGCTGACTTCAACAGTCTGGAACACACTGTTTTACAAGCATGCTAGGAAGTTAAGATGCTGAGTCAGCAGAACGTTCTTCTGGAAAACTGTCAGTGACAACAGGCAGACCCACAAATGAGTCAAACCATAAAAATTGTCTGGTGCACTGAGACCCAGCCTGGACCATGAAGAGATGGTCCCAGGTATGCTGCCAGCTGTGAGAAGAAGCCAAGTAAAAACAAGAGACTTTGACTAATTTGACTCTTTCGTATCTGTCACAGCTAATAAAAAAAAGACCAGCAGGGCTTGGCTGAGAGGAGGAGGAGCTTAGAACCTGGGCTCTGCAAGTGTGAGGCCCAATGTACACACAGAAGTAAGATTAGGTTTTGTTTTTTGCTTATTTTCTGTGACAGGATCTTAGCATGCATAGGAAAGCCTTGACTTCCTGTGTAGCTGAGGTTGGCCTCCATTCCATGAGTCTCCTAGAATACACCTGGCTGGCATGTCATTTCTAGTTATTTACTCTAGAAATTTACTTTCTTCTTCTTTTTTTTTCTTTTTCGAGACAAGCTTTCTCTATGTAGCCCTGGCTGTCTTGGAACTTTGTAGACCAGGCTGGCCTAGAACTCACAGAGATCCTCATGCCTCTGCTTCCCAAGTACTGGGTTTAAAGGCATGTGCCACCACACCTGGCCCTCTTTTTTCTTTTCGTTTGTGAGATGCCTGTCTCTACTGAATCCTGGCTTTCCTGGAGCTCACTAGGTAGACCAGGCTGACCCAAATTCACAGGGCTCCACTAGCCTCTGCCTTTTGAGTGCTGGGATTAAAGGTGTGCATCACCACACCTAGCCTAAAATCATTCTTATTACACTTTACAAAAGTGTCAGTTCATAAAGCAAAATATTACTCCTCTAACAAAGACTGTTTTAGGAACACCAATCTAGTTCCCTACCTATAGCTTCCAAACCACTCTCAAACAGATATGGAGGAAAAGGCCATAAGCGCTCTGAGTTAAAGGGAACAGGAAAGGACAACAAAGGCCTACTTTTACCTTGGCCACCTTAGAGAAAAAACTGAGGTTGAAAACTGAAAAGGGTTTTCTGTGTGCTCAGGATGTGGAGATGGGACGTGGTACTACTTCTGAAGGGAAATTCTGGATTTCCCTGGGCAGTACTAGTCACAGTAGGAGCTGCAACTAACTGTTGATGTCACAAGAACCAAAAACGTCATGTGCATATATACAGAATCTCTGTGAAGGGAATCAAGGGACAGCTGGACTGCTGGTGTGGCCACCTTGGTAATCGCCACAGTTAAGAATGGCAAACCAGAGCTAAAAGGAAAAGGTCCACCCAGCACCGGTAATCTCACAATGAAAGTCATCTACAGAAGAAAAGATGGGGTGTCTTTGGCTGGAAGATAATATAGGGGTCACAGTGAACAATAAAGATGACGAAAGCTGTCACCACAGGACCACTGTAAGGAGTGTGCAGACTGGTGGCCCAGAACGGCATCTGTGGTGGAATAAATGAAAATGGCCCCTACAGACGCAGGGGGTGGCATTACTGGAGGTGTGGCCTTGCTGGAGTAGGTAGGTGTGGCCCTACTGAAGAAAGTGTCACTGGGGTTGGGCTTTGACATTTCAGAAACTCAATCCAAGCCCAGTGGCTCTCTGGCTCTTTCTGCTGCTTGTGGATCCGAAAGTAGAACTCTCAGCTACCTCTCCAGCACCAGGTCTGCTTCCTGCCATGACCATAATGGATTTAACCTTTGAACTCTAAGCCATCCCCAATTAAACATTGTTCTTTTTAAGAGTTGCCACGGCCATGGCATCTCTTCACAGCAGCCGAACACTAAGACAACATCCAATACAGGCAGCACTGCGTTGGTTTCTAAGTGTATCTGTAAAACAAAACCCACAGCTGGGCGCAGGCCTGTCATCCCAGCACTCAGGGACCAGAGGCAGGCAGATGGTCTCTGTGAGTTTGAGGCCAGCCTGGTCTGCTAAGCAAGTCCAGGACAGCCAAGGCTACACAGAGAAACCCTGTCTCAAAAAACAAAAAAAGAACAAGAGAGAGAGAGGAAGGAAGGAAGGAAGGAAGGAAGGAAGGAAGGAAGGAAGGAAGGAAGGAAGGAAGGAAGGAAGGAAGAAAAAAATATAATACCTATTTAAAACAAAATACCTATTGAAATAATACCTATTGAAAACAAAATCACCCTTGCATGTAGGTAGCCCATGGCAGCTCAGTGTCCAAGAGGGTACCCTAGTAAGGGGAACAGGGACTGTCTCTGACATGAACTCAGTGGCTGGCACTTTGATCACCTCCCACTGAGGGGGGAGCAGCCTTGCCAGGCCATAGAGGAGGACAATGCAGCCAGTCCTGATGAGACCTGATAGGCTAGGGTCAGATGGAAGAGGAGGACCACCTCCCCTATCAGTGGACTTGGAGAGGGGCATGGGAGGAGATGAGGGAGGGAGAGTGAGATTGGGCAGGAATGAAGGAGGGGGCTATAGCTGAGATACAAAGTGAATAACGTGTAATTAATATAAAAATTAAAATAAAAAATAAAACAACAAAATCTGAATGGGCAGTCCTGGGACTCTCAGGACAGCCGCAGAGCCCAGCACTCTTCCCTCTGCTCCTCCCTGCTGTCCACAGGCTGACACCACAGAGCATGATGATACAGTGAGGGTATGACTACTCAGTCTGTGTTGCCATCTTTAATAAACCACGTACTGCACTGTGAGCGACTAACACGATCCAGAGAGTACAGGTCTGGGGCACCTGGCCCTGTCACAAACTCAAACTTTTACGTTTCCTTTGGTTGCCTTCTAAATATAGACTTAACAATGCTTCTTACTGTGCTAAAAGCTGCTCGGTCCACTCTGTAAACCCAGTCCCTAGACAGGGGTTAGAGTGTTAATGACTTTAACCCACAATCATTTTGTTTGGGTCCCCAAACTTTGATGATGACTCAAAGGCATGTGTCTACTGCTTTTTCTACAACGTGGATTTCAGTACAGATTACAAGCAGCAGTAATATCAGTAGGTCTGAAACTTTATCTCTTTTTATAAATGTAAAGAACTCTTGTAAGCTTCAGGGACTCAGGAGACTTGGATCCACCTCTCACAGGTCAAACAACGCCAGATAAGTACTCCTTTCCATCTACAGCCAAAACTTTTCTGCCTCCTGCCTACCCCAGAGGGTGGGCTCCCCTTCCCCTGGTCTTCTGACTCCTCCCTTCCCCCAACTACCAGGACCACGGGCCTGGAAGTTTCAAATGTACACCCAAGATAAAAAAAAAAAAAATTCCCTAAACTCCCTAAGTTTTCTTTCTGTCCCTAGTCTATATCTGTCCCAGCAGATTTCCATTCAACTGAAGACTGAAAACTGCTCCCAAACTGCCTGCAATGTGCCAGCCTCAGGTGCTCCTTCAGAATCTGCATACCAGACTGCTCCAAAGCAGCCTGCACTTTCCTAGCCCCGAGGAGAACCTGGGCAGCAAGCAAAATAAATGTCCCCCAGCCCGAACTTCTCTTTCCCTTCCCAACCTTTGATCCCAGCCTTCCTGGGTCCCAACAACAACAACAGCAACGTCCCAGTTTCAGCTCAGTAGTAGCTACAGAGAGATTGTGTTGTTCCTTATCAACAAAAGGCTGGAATGGTGGTCTCAAAGAAACCAGGACAAATGGCTGAGTTGGCTATTAGCAAAGCAGATGCTGGCCAGCATCTCAGTGTCACTCAGTACCTCCACACAGCGCTTCTCACACTGCCCACTGCCCTCACCACTCTAACCCAGGGTTGGGCTTCCATTCCCTTCCCCCAGCTTCTTTTCCTGTATAACTCAGCCATTTTGGCCACATGCTTTCTTGGCTGTGCTCCTGGACCTTTCTTCATCATTTGCCCTCTCTCCTCTCTCTTCTGTCACCCTCCTACCCCCACTGGCTGTCTGGACTCTTCCAGATGCCCTCTGGCTGTGCTCTCCTCACATCTACAATAAAAACTTTCTCAGCCATATCTAGGAGGAGCTATGTCCTCATTTTCATTCAGGAGTCATTATAATTTAATGTTCTGAGTGCTTAAGAGATATAAGCATTCTCTTTGGCTCATAGCTTTAATATTAGGAAAATCTTCGTTTCTGTGTGAGGCGTTAGAGCTCTCTGGGAACATGGAACAAATCATCACTGATTTGTCTTACCTTCATGGATGCTGAAAGGGCAGGTGAGGCTCAAGCTGTGCTGCTTTTGGGATGAAACCTGCCTGCCAGCGTGAACAGATACGCCACACTGACAGGCCCACACCTGGGCAGGTGACTCCATCAAGTATTTATAATGTGTTCAGTGACACAGCCAACACTGAGCTCACCCAGCTCAACATTCAGTCTCCATTACAGAAAGTTCTCAGCATTGTACTAACCTACTGTATTTGTCTGGTAGTATCATCAGCAGTATAACATATGAATACAGTGTAAGATCTAGTATAAGCTGGGCAAGGTGGAGCATGCCTGTAGTCCCAGCACGCAGGGAGGCAGAGGTAGGCGGATATCTGTGAGTTCAATACCAGCCTGGTCTACAGAGAGAGTCCAGGGCTACACAGAGAAACCCTGTCTTGGAAAACTAAAAAACAAAACAAAACAAAACAACCCTCTAATATAAACCTTCTAGACACCACATGTTTCTGTTTCATCTCAAAAAGAAAGCACACAGCAAAACCTGCATATATGATCTCTTCCTTACTCTAAAATGCCATGAGGACGCTCAAAGATCTAGTGATTTCATGCAAAATTAAAGACGCATGAACTTACCAGTGTTTCTTGACATTTCCATTTCCATGGACTGTGATGGTCCAGTGGTTACAGCAGCCTTTTACAACTTGGTAAAGTATTTTTGGCCCTGAGTATCATGGCCCCAATCCTTTGCCCTTTATTCTTCTTAGTCTTAGTTACAAACTTGTATGCATACTGGTTGTTTTCTCTCTCTATTTTCATTCCCTGGCCTCCAAATCTTTTTTTCCTCATCTATTTACCCTCCATAAACCACCTAATCAATCCCCTCTACAGAGTTTCCTTTGTCAACTACTTACCCCACAGTTACTTCCAACTGCAGTTCTGTATTATGTCTCTAAGTTGACCCAAATGCATGCTTTTTCTATCTTTTATTTTGTTACAAAAAGTTCAACTATTTTCTTGGGAAAAGCATATACATAGTATATATGACACACACACACACACACACACACACCTTGCCTAATTATGCCACATGGGAGTTCTTCTTTAGTATTAGCTTTGATTATAAGTGCTAAGCTTGACTTACACAGCTTCACAAGACAGAATTTTTCTTTTTGAGGCAGGGTTTTATTGTAACCTAGACTGACCTGGCACTAAATCTGTGGCCCACACTAGCCTCCCACTCAGAGTGATCATCCTCCTTAAGCCTCCTAAGTGTTGGGAGACAGTCATCACACAAACAATGAAGCAATTTAATGAACAAGTATTTACCGAATACTGACTGCATGCTAGATATTGTTTTTAAGGTTTGGGTACGCACAGGTAAACAAAACCAACTCCTGCATTACCAGCTCCAGCATAATGGCTCAGTGTGTAATGGCACTTGCCAGCAAACATAATAACCCGAGTTCAATCCCCAGAGTCCACATGATGGAAAGAAACAATTGGCTCCTACAAGTCTCTCTCTGACCCTGGCATGTACATGCTCTAGTTCCAAGTAAAAAATAATAATAATAAATTAAAAAGAAAAACATATTCTAGGTGTAAAAACAAAAGATAATACATAGAATGTTGAATATTACAAGAGCATAGGGGAATTTTAAAGGAGAGGGAGTTTAAATTTAGATATGGAAGTTAAGGGAAAGCCTCATCAAAAAGATAGTCTTGGACTAAAAATCTAAGGGAAATTAGGGAGCATATGCTACAGATATGCTTGTTGTGAAGACAATTATGAACACAAGAACACAATTCAATGAATGGGTTTAGGGTATGAGATCAGAGAGGCTGCCACATCCAGTAAGTATATATACATATACATATGTATATATATGTATCTGCATGTGTGTCTATATATGTAGGTGTACATGTGTATGTATATATACATACATAGAAATATACAGACATATGCTGTTATAATTGAAGTGGAAAAAGAAATCCAAAGGCCGAGTTCCATCTTGAAGAAGACGGGGTCAAAGAAGAATTCACCAAAGGCAGGATGCTGAGAAGTAATGACGTTGGGAGGAAGCTCTCTCACCCACTTAGTGGGTGGGCATATGGAAGCAAGCTTTCCTTCATGAGAGGGTAGGTACGTGGAAGCAAAGTGAAGGCGAGCTGAGGAGAAGCTAATGAGGTGGGGATGAGAACTGGCCACTGGATTTCCTTCTGGGACAAAAGATACTTGGAGGTGAGGAAGTGGGGTACACTGGATGAAAATAAAGCAGAGGAAGGAGCCTGGTATGGGGTCTACACCGGCAATCCTAGCAGTCAGGAAGCTGGAGGCAGGCAGATTCCAGGCCAGCTTGGGCTACACCATGAGACTGTCTCAAAAAGCTAAAACTAAAATAAAGCCCCTACATGACACAGGCGACCTTGTCAACGGTCCCTGAGAGAGAAGTAAGGAATGATGTGTGGGATTGCACAGTCTGCAGGGGTCAAAAGACGTTTGGAATGATGGAAACAAACCCTAAGACTCATCGAGAAAATCAGAGCAGAAAGTGAATCTGTGTCAAAGGGTTAATGAACAGACATGAATAAAGAAGGAAAAGAAGGACACTGGGGATTTTGAGAACAGTCACTGTAAATATTCATATTTTGCAATAAAAACATGAAATGGTTTGATAAACTACTTTCTTATTAGATGACTCATTTTCAAAAATGCATACCAACATTATTTCAAGTGGGAATTATCAGATAGCCATGATGTCATACCATTGAGTCTTAGCTGATATTTCTCAACTATCTTCAGAAGTTCATTGCATGTCTCCTGAATGGAGTGAAAAACCTTGAAAAATAAATGTTATTAGAACAATTTAAAGAACAATAAACAAATACAACTTTTAGCACTTCAAAGACAGAACATTTGCATAAAAGTATCTATTGGGTATATTTTATAAATTATGTCCATTTTACTTGGTTGGGATGTATAGTTTAAACATATATTCATATGTCTATTTTATAAATATCATGCCTATTTTCCTTGACTGGGATGTACTTCAGGCTTAGTTATATAGAAAGTTCATTTAAATTTTCCCTGTGAATGTGATAAATGTGTAGAATTTATCTACAGAATTTGTTTCCCCCTCAGTTCCCAAGTATCTAAACGCTAAAAAGTTATATCCATTATTTTTTTCAGTCTTTAAGAAAAATAGTACAAATATGGGGGGAAAAACACATGGCTGATTCTAAATATTTGTATAGTGAACAACTTTACAATAAATGTTATAAATTCCCTCACCATATAAAAACAACACAACTATTTTCTTCTGTGGCAATGTGTGTGGAAAACAGTGGCAAGTTCTCCTCGTGTTGAAACACATTACAACTAATGCAGTTGTTTCCTGTCTCCAAATATGACTGAACCAAAGGATTACTTTGCAACACAAAGAGTAAATGCCTTTTTTTCCTGTTTGTTTGTTTGTTTGTTTGTTTGTTTTCTTTGAGACAGGGTTTCTCTGTGTAGCTCTAGCTGTCCTGGAACTCTGTAGACCAGGCTGGCTTCGAACTCACATAGATCCATCTTCCCCTGCCTCCCTGAGTGCTGGGACTAAAGGGTGATAACTGTAATCCTTAAACAGGTGTCTCTGAATAACAAGCACAGCTAAACATCCTGTAGCAAAGCTGCTAGTCCTGTGCTGCTAGTTTATGCCAATTTGACACAAGCTTGAGCCATCTGAGTGAAGGGAGTCTTTAAAAATATATATGTATTTATTTATGTATAAAGTGTTCTGCCTTGCATGTACTCCTTCTCAGCAGAAGAAGGCACCAGATTTCCCCATAGATGGTTGTGAGCCACCATGTGGTTTCTGGGAATTGAACTCAGGACCTTTGGAAGATCAGCCAGTGCTCTTAACCTCTGAGCCATTTTTCCAGCCTGAGAAGGGAGCCTTAGTTGAAAAATAAGATCAGGCAGTAGGCAAGTCTGTAGGGCATTTTTCTTTTTAGTGACTGACAGGAAAGGGCCCAGAACATTCTGGATAGAGCCATCCCTGGGCTGGTGGTCCTGGATTCTAGAAGACAGCGGGCTGGACAAGCCCAGATGAGCAAGCTGGTAAGCAGCACCCCTCCATGGCCTGGTCAGCTCCTGTCTGAGGATCCCACCTTGCCTGGGTTCTTGTACTGACTTTCTTCAGTAATGGACAACAAATTTGGCAGTGTAAGTCAAATAAACTCTTTCTCCCAAACTCGCTTTTGGTCATGGTGTTTCATCACAGCAATAGTAACCCTAACTAAGACACCCCTTAAACTCCTTGGTGCAAAAGTTTGTTATAGTTCTCCCCTACCCCGAGTAATAACCAGTTCCATGCAGTACACAGTCTTCACATTTACCTCGAGTTTAGCATCCAGTTCTGCATCAGAGGCGACCACATGCTCGTCCTCCTTTTTTCCTGTCGCTTTTATAAAGACCTGTTTAGTTTTCCAGTATTTCTTCTGCATTCTGCTCACTACTGACTGGTTATCTTCTGGTCGCAGTTGCCCAAATGAATCCATGGAGTAGCTAAAACAAACTAAAATTAGACTTCTTTTAAAAACTTATCAATAAATTACAAATATATTAAATATATTTAAATTATAGTTAACTTATAATAAATATCTAGCTAGCATATCAGTATTTAATTGACAGACCAAAATTATATTAAATATAAACAAGATAATGCTTGCTTTATAAGATCTAGATTTTATAATTACAACTAGAGAATGAGAGATAAAAGAGTAATATTACTTGTATTTTTGTTATAAAGCAAAGGTGTTAAAAGTGTATGATCTATAGTTATGACTGAAAATAATTCTATTTGATAAATATCTACTGGTAAACATGTCTTCCCTCTAATTTTTTTTATCTTATAGTATACTGAAAAATGAAGACATTTATACAAACATATTTACATGTTACTATTACCTCTTTACAAGAATGTTCTGTACCTACTGTTACATTAGGTAAATATAATTTCATAAACATTTTCAGATATGTAAAAATTTGGATAAATGTACTTTAAATAGTAAAGAAATACTTTAATATTCAATAAAACAATAAAAATGAAAACCTTAGTTATAGAGGAAACATGTAAACAGACAAACACTGTAAGTCACCAATCATAAAATTGATGTCTAAGTCATTGTTTTAACAAAGTTAAAAGGAAATAAAATATAACAAAATAAAAATAAAATAAGGAAATAAAACATGAAAAAGCATTTTGTAAAGATGTTTTAAAAAGACACAATAATAGGGCTGGAGAGATGGCTCAGAGATTAAGAGCACTACCTGCTCTTCAAGAGGTCCTGAGTTCAATTCCCAGCAACCACATGGTGGCTCACAACCATCTATAGTGAGATCTGGTGCCCTCTTCTGGTGTGCAGGTGTACATGCATTGTACACATGATAAATAAATAAATATTTGAGAGAGAGAATAATAGTTGTTTGATACTAAAGACCAAATTATTCCTGTGAACTAGGGAAACAGAACAGAGAGGCAGTTGACTCATTCATTGTATTTTCCTTGTTGGCAAAAACCAAACCAGAAAACCAAAACAAAACAAAACAAAAAACAAGTCCATGTCCCTTTTATTTTGAAGTACTAATTAAGTTAAAAGTAGGCTCATTTCTAAATTTCCAGGGCCAAAAAAGAACAAGAAAACCCAGCAAAATATAAAAGCCAGAGGGGAGAACAAAGCATGGCAACTTGGCAAACAACAAGCACCAATATGCTGAGTATGACTGCATTGTTTGAAGGGTACACAAAACTTCCTTTTAAGCACAGGATCCAATGCCTAAAAAAGCTACAACTCAGTGTCAGAGTGTTTGCCTGGCACGTATGAAGCCCTGGGTTCAATCCTCACTAAAAATCAAACTCAATTAAAATATAAAGTCCTGTAAAGCTAAAAGCCATAATCCAACCCAACCACACACTATATGACATTCACCTAAAACAAAATGACACAAAAGAAATAAAAACAAGGATATACCATAAGCAGATCTTACTAATATACACAAAGATTTAACATGGACTATACACAATAAATCTATAGAAAACACTGAAAACAAAGATTCCAGTTGCAAAGCTCAAGCGGTCTAATTAAAAATCAACTAGATGGGGCTGGAGATGGCTTAGCAGTTAAGAAATGGCTTCTCTTCCACAGGACTCAGTTTCAATCACATGGTGGTTCACAACTGTCTGTCTCTCCAGTCCCAAGGGAACTGATGCCATCTTCTGATCTCCACAAGCACCAGGTATGCCAATAGTACACATAAACACATGCAGGCAAAGCACTGACACAGAAAATAAATCATTTTTTAAAAATTGACTAGATAGCTTGTTGGTGGTACACACCTATAATTTCAGTACTTGGGAGGCTGAGGCAGGAGGATCTCAAGTTCAAGGCAGCCTGGGATATATAGTGAGACTGCTTAAATAATTAAATAAATAAACTGGCTGAGATGGCTTAGGAGCAAAGTGAATACAACAGAAGTGAAAGCAAATGAAACCATAAAAATTTAAAGAACAAAAAAATAAGTAAATAGTGGGGAAAAGAAAGACTATAAAAAAAAAAAAGACAAGACAGGGTGGAACAGAAAACACTAAGAAATATGATATTCCTCAAACTTGTGAATGACAGTCATGATATATAAATACAATGAGAGAGATAAACATGATTATAAAAATCACAGACAAACTGTTTAAATCTAAAGACAGGAAAAAAACAGCAAAGAAAATACTTTGAAGGCAGAAAAAAGGTTTGCTTTTGTTTTTGTTTTTTGTTTGTTTTGAGAGAGAGATTTTTCACTCTGTAGCTCAGACTGATCTGGAACTCACTAACTCACTATGTAGACCGAGTCAGCCTTGAATTCATGGTGATGCTCCTGCTTCAACATCCTAAGTGTTGAGATAACAAACAGGAAACACCAGACCTGGATAAAAACAAAACAAAACCAAAAAACCCACAATGAAGGTGGGCACGGTGGCATGCCTGTAATCTCAGCACGGAGGCAGAGACAGTTGGAGCTCTGAGTTTGAGGCTAGTCTGATCTATATAGAGAGTTCCAGGATAGCCAGGACTACACAGAAAAAAACCCTGTCTCAAAAAGAAAGAAA